GGTAGTGAGGTTGGCCCAGGATCGGACATTGTTTCGTTCTGCTGTGCATGGGGTCGCTATGAGTCGGTTCTGACTCGATGGCACCTGACAACAACAACACCATACTTTAATATTATATTCTGTACTGAATATAATTGATTTGTGGTCTCTAGATTAGTAATCGAGGGAAAGTATAAGACAGAGGATTTACTGATTTGAATAAAGGAGAAGAAACCTTGTCAAATAAGGCCCCCATGTGGCAGTTTAATAACACAATGTACATGTAAAATGGCTTGTCTTATAGTGAATGTCAATTAAATCCCCCTAAGTAGACTTTGAAAAAATAATTATCTAAGGTGGAGTTTTACTAAGTCTTCTGTCTAAGTATAACTTCATGGTACAAGTAACATGAAATTGTACTTGAGGCTAAAACCCAATTCTGAGAATATTAGATCTCACTTCTCTGACATCCTGGTATGATGCTGTGGGTTAATGCACCAGACTGCAAACCCATTTGAACTACAAGCTCAGTAGTTCAAGCTTACCAGCTGCTCCTCAGAAACTCTATACAGGGTCACTATGGGTCAGAACCATCTCCATGGCACTTCACGACAACAAAGGTGGAGAAGTAAGAGTCCTGTTAGTTAGTGGGTTAGCACTGGACTGTTAATCACAAGCTCAGCTGGACCTTTTTCCTCAGGAGAATAATGATGCTTTCTGTTCCCCTAAAAATTTATCATAGAAGAATAGATGCATTTGAGTTATGGTGTTGGAGTAAAATATTAAAGGTACCGAGGACTGCCAGAAGAACAAACAAATCTGTGTTGAAAGAAGTACAACCAGAATGCTTCTTAGAACCCAAGAAGCCCAGACTGCAGCTCTCTTACTTTGGACATATTTTCAGGAGGGACCCATTCCTGGAGAACGACATCATGCTTGGTAAGGTGGAGGGACAGTGAAAAAGAGGGAGAACCCCAACGGGATGGATTGGCACAGTAGTAGTAACAATGGGCTCAAGTGTAGCAGCAATTGTGAGAATAACGCAGGGTTGTGTGGTGTTTCCTTCTGTTGTATATAGGGTCACTATGAGTGGGAACTGACTCAAGGACACTTAACAAAGATTTACAACCTCAGAAACCCTATAGGGGGTCACTATGAATGGGAATCGACTCCACCACACACAGAAGCAGCAGGAAGTGGGTAAGTTCCTTAAGATGCCAACTATGTAGAGTAGACAAGAAAATTGTGAGAACATGCACCACCCTAATTTAGCCACAAACACCCACCTTGCTTTTGTTAAATGCAGTCAAGTTGGTTCTGACTCATACCTAGTGCTCCTGTGTAGGGTTTCTGAGGCTTTAAATGCCCACATATGAGAGGGTAAATTCTTGTATTTATTAGATTTATGTGAAACATAGAGTTTAAAGTTAGTCTACAATATTTTCTTTCAATGGAATTTTAATGTGAATATTTCTTGTAGTTCGTTAAGACAGATTTGTTTCCTTCCTAGATTTCAGAGAACAGATTTTTATTCTACTACGATGTGATTTAGTAGCTAAAAGGGATGAGTCATTGCCGTGATGAGTTTAGAGATTCAAATTTAAAAATTTTTTAAAATTGTTTTTCAGAAATTATTTATTTATTGTTTTACTATACAGAACTCTGTATGTTAAAACCACTCAACACAGTGTAACAGTACTTCTTGCATACAATATATAAGGTGTATGTTGTTGATAAGTGCCATCGAGTCTGTTTCGACTCATAGCAACACGGTTATAGGGTTTCGGAGGAGCTGCTGGTGAGTTTGAACCGCACAGACCTTGTGATTCAAACCGGCTTTATAACCTGTAAATCTTGACTGACCGAGACTTCCAAAAACAGTGGTAAGATTTATATGGATTTGGAACCCCTAAAACTGAAATTTCAGTAGAAAAACGCCAACTATGACTTTAAATTACATTCAACGAACCTCCTAGAATAAATGAGAACTTATTCTGTGCATTGTAGCATGCTAGGCTCCCTGGCACAGGGATCATTGCCATTAAGGATGCACTCTAAAATCTTAACCTACTATGGCAAAGGAAAGGGAACAGTCAATTTGGGTGAGTGTCAGAGAACGTGGGTAGACACCCCAACTCTTGACACAGGCAGGCAGAGTGGGGAATGAAAAAGCTTGGGAATTGGGTACCAAGCCTCTTTCAGGGAGCTGCACGGCAGGAGCTAAACCAACGGCCAGATCCTAAACTCACTGCCCCCTAACCCAGTTTGAGTCGCTGTCCAGAATAGTAGAAGAACTCAGTAAGAAGACTTGTTCTTTTGTGGGTGATCAGTTCGAACCGCAGGCTGTATGGGCGAACAGGGGGCCTAGGAGCAAGAAATGCCACCACTAGACGCTCCAAGAAAATATTCTGCAGTTATTTTCCCTCGTCAGCCTATTGTACCCCTGTTTATTAGACCAGAGAAGGGAGTCAGGTCGAAAGGAATCCCCTTTCCAGGAAAGTCAGGCCCTAGATCGCGAATGGGAGTCTGGGTTACTGTGTTGTGGATTACAGACGCTGCAGGACTTAGAAGCCAGCTTCATGAAAGCTTGAATTCTTATTCCTTACAGCCTGGCTTCCCGGCCCGGGTCCATCGTAGGTCGCTGGGACCCGGGTCTCCGCATCCCACAATTCCTTTAAAGCCACGGCGCTCCGCTGCGCGCTGTCTGCGGCACGCGGGCGGCGAGCGCGAGCCCGGCGTTTTGACAGCTGCCCACGCGTCAGGGCGGTGCGCGAGCGCGTTGCTTTAAAGGCTCGCGCGGAAAGCCCCGCCCCTCACGCGTCGCGATTGGCTCCAGGTGGGGCAGCCCTGGTCCGATAGGTGAAGAGAGGGAGGCCCTGAGCTTCTCCGCAGAGACTACTGAGTGTTAGTGGTTAGGCGTGCGGGGCCGGCGGGCACGCGCGCGTGCCGACCGCGTAGGTCTCTTGGGAAGTAGGAGAGCCCTCGACGCCGGTCCGCACGCGCGCGAAGGCGGAGGTGTTGTGTGCGTGTGTATGGTGCTCGGGTGCCGGGTGCAAGCTGTCAGTCCCCCCACCACCCACGCGTTAGTCCTCGGTGGTCTTTCACACCATCCCTCCCTCCATCGGCGTTTCTTCCCTCCCGCGGCTCCACGGTCGCGCACTGAGCAACAGCCTTGGGAAGCTGCGGTAGGGGACAGAGGGAGCGCACGAGACAAAAGGGGCGCGGGGTCAGCCCGCCATGGCCTCCCGAAGCCTGGGGGGCCTGAGCGTGAGTCGCGGCGGCGGCAAGAAGAGCCTTAGCGCCCGCAATGCTGCGGTAGAGAGGAGGAACCTCATCACCGTGTGCAGGTACGGCCCTCCGCCCGGGGCGCGAAAAGCGGGCCGCCGGCTGAAGACGTTGGGCGGGCGCCGGAGCATCCGGCCCGGCCGGGCGTGTCTGCGGGCCCCGAGCGATCCAGAGAGCGCGGGGGCCGTGCCCTCCATCGCTTCTCAGAGGCCCGGGACTTTCTGTCGTTTCCAATGCTGGAGGCAGCCCAGGGTAGGGCTTGGGGCGGGGCTGGGGGAGGATTTGTTTTGAACGTGCAATCTGGTGTCAGAGTAAAAGGAGAAAGAGCTTTATTCCTTGGTGATCATTAAGTTATTAGCCATCTTTTGGTAAAGCAGTCTTTATTGTGTCGCCCCAAAATGGGAGGGCATTTCGTTGTTTGGGCTTGTATACAGATCCAGCCACTCACTTCATTCCACAAATATTAACTGTGGAGAGCACGCACACGCCAGGCACTGTGTGTGTATGACCGCGTGTGCGTGCTCTCCACTTTTAAACTGTAGACTATACCTAGCTTTTATGAAAATGATTTATTCCTATGATTGATTTTCTTTAAGTAGATTCTACTTATGAATGTAGTCTATTAATCAGAGATAACTCATTTTAATATATTAATATTTATTCAGGTTGTTATAAAAAAATAAGATGAAATCCTAGTCAGCAGTTTCTTAGGAATTTCTGTGAACCATTAAGTTGCTTCCAAATCACTTCGTTCCATCAAGCCACCTCATTATTAACTAGTTACAATCTTCAAAGAATCAAAGGATGATGAAACCTCTGAACTCTTTTGCAATTTATGTCTGTATTTTCTTCTTTTCCTTGTGTAAGCATCTTAAGCAAAATGCAGATATTTGTACCAAGGACTCACATTCAATTAACTTTCAGTGACTTTTTTTTTTTTTAAAACTTGAGCTATTACACATATTTGCCAATGTTGCGGCAAGACCTCCCTCGCTGTCTGTTACGGCACTTTTGAGTTGGAACCGAAAATGACACACACTCTGCTTTGTCATTTGTGTAATCTTTTAAGGAAGATAGGCATATTAATTCTTTTTTAGATTTAAGTTAAAAACATTTAAAAATTAAATAAATAGAAAAATAATCAAGTCTCATTTTCTTACCTTTGAGAAAAATTTTAAATTCCTTAAAAAAATGAAGATGATTTCAAGCATGCTTCATAGCCTCTTAATATATCTACAAAAGCTCCATCAGTCCGTAATATCAGGAGGGCATCAATCTCCTGTTGTTATTCAGTATTTTTTTTTAATTTATTTTTGATTATTTTGTTTTTGTGTTTTGTATTCTTTCTATTATAGCATCTGACACTCAGTATATATTTACTGAATGAGTAAATTTACTGGTGTGGTGCTCCATCCCTGCTGCCTCTGTGTTTTTGTCTTGTCTGGTTTTGGTTATTATTCATTATGCCTTCATCAGAAGCAGATCAGGAGACGAAAGGGACTTGTATTTCAACCTTATGTAAGTTACAACATTCTAAGTAGTAGTTAAAAATTTTTAGTCACATCACACTGAATTGTCTGGATAGCTAGCTAGGCTAGCTGTATTTTCATTTGCATAGTTTTTACATCTGCAGTTTAAACCCAACAGCTGTTTCTTGGAAACCCTATGCAGGATTGCTGTGAATTGGAACCTCCTGACAGCTCTTAACAACAACTGTGAATCAATAAAAGCTAAGTTTAGTTTTTGGTACCCATAGATTTAATATAGTAGTTAAAATAAATTTCAATTTCAGGCCTAGATTTCAACTTGAAAGTTTCTTTATGTCTAAATAGTTGATTGTTGTTGTTGTTGTTAAGTGCTTTCAAGTTGGTTCCGACCCATAGCGACCCTGTACAGGGTTTCCGAGGCTGTAAATCTTTACGGGAGCAGAAAGCCTCATCTTTCTCCCGCGGAATGGCTGGTAGTTTCGAACTGCTGGCCTTAAGGTTCGCAGCCCGATTCATAACCACTACGCTACCAGTTGATGGTACATATAAATTATTCATGACTAGTAATGAGGTCTTTTTAAAGTCACTGTAGGCAATTTGTAAGTTTTAAGTAGCCAGGTTGCCTCAAATTCTGTAAAATGGACAAATCAAAATATTTACTCGTTTCTGTTGTTTGTCTCTACTTTTCTGAGTTACTACCAAACCCCAGGTATTTCATCTTTCTCTCTGTTGTGAAAACCTAGCAAAATATATACCAATTCAACAATTTATACATGTATTATTTCAATGACATAGAGTACATTCTTCAAGTTACACAACGATTCTGTCTATCCTTGTAAAAAATATTTCATCACTACTAACATAAATGGAATTCAGATGTAGCACTGTAGGATAAATACTGAGCTATTAACTGTAAGGTCTGTGGTTCAAACCCACTAGCTGCTCCTCAGAAACCCTATACAGGGTCACTGTGAGTCAGAATAGACTCCAGAGCACTTAACAACAACAGTATTAACATAAGCTCCCTGCACCCTAAGCAGAACTCTCTTTCACTACTCCTCTCACCCCAAGTAACCACTATTAATTTTTGTTTCTTTTTATTTGCTTATTTATCTAAGTGAAATCATATCATATTTGTCCTGTAACTATTTTTCTCCCCATGAGGTTTTCAAGGTTCATCTGTGTTGTAGCATACATCAAGACTTCATTTCTCTCACCAGGTTGTTATTAAGTGCTGTCTAGTCAGTTCACACTCAAGCAACCCTACATAGAATTTCGAGATGCAGCTGGTGGGTTTGACCTGCCAACCATGTGGTTTGCAGTCCAGTGGTAATCTTATATTGCTACACGAGGAGTCTTCTCTCACCATATTCCTTAGTAAATTCATATTTTTATATCTCAAAACAAATATATTTTTTTAAATCTTTCCATATTCCAGTTTACTCATCTGAAAAATAATACCGCACAAGACTACCAGTAACTTTAAGAACAGCTCTAAAATGAATAATTGTTTTCAAGTAATATTTGTTTATATTTGGCTATAAATGTATCCACATCTAAACAGGGTTGTTATTGTTGTTATTAAGTGCTATTGAGTTGGTTCTGACTCATAAGAGACCCTATATTGGGTTTCTGAGGCCGTAAATCTTTGTGGGAGCAGAAAGCCTCATCTTTCCCCCATGTCTGAGCAGGTTAGTGGTAGATACATGTTTAATGGTATCTCTGAAGGTATGTGTGCATGTGTGTTTGTAAATCACATTGAATCTTTAATTTTGTGGTTTTTGAACAATATTGTGGAAATTATACAAAAGCAAAACAAAACAAAACCAAAAAACCAAACCCCATTACCACCAGTTACTTTAGTATATCTTTTAATACCTGTATTCTAATGTATATAGAACAAGAGGCAGTTGTTCAAACAGAACTTGGGAACACTGAATGGTTGAAAATTAATAAAGGTGTGCGACAGGGTTGTAGTCTTTCACCGTACTTATTCAACCTGTGTGTTGCGCAAATAATCCGAAAAGTTGAGGTGTATGAAGAAAAACGTGGCATCAGGATTGGAGGAAGATTCATTAACAACCTGTGATATGAAGAGAATACAGCTTTGCTTGCTGAAAGTGAAGAGGACTTAAAACAATTACTGATGAAGATCAAAGAGCACAGCTTCAGTATGGATTGCATCTCAATGTAAAGAAAACAAAAATTCTTACCACTGGACCAATAAACATTCTTATCAACGGAAAAAAATTTAAAGTTTTCAAGGACTTCAATACTTGTTGGATCAACCATCAACACTCATGGAAGCAGCAGTCAAGGAATCAAACGACATATTGCTTCAGGCACATTTGCTGCACAAGACCTTTTTAAAGTGTTGAAGAGCAAAGATGTCAGTGTGAGGACTAAGGTGCACCTGACCCAAGCCATAGTGTTTTCAGTAACCTCATATGCATGCAAAAGCTGGACAGTAAATAAGGAAGACCATAGAAGAATTGATGCTTTTGAGTTATGGTATTGGAGGAGAATATTGAAAGTGTCATGAGCTGCCTAAAGAACCAATAGATCCGTTTTGGAAGAAGTCCAAACTTCGTCTCTCATACTTCGGACATATTGTCAGGAGGGACCATTTGCTGGAGAAGGATATCATGTTTGGTAAGGTGGAGGGTCAGAGAAAAAGAGGAAGACCCCCAACAAGATGGATTGGCCAAGTGGCAGCATCTATGGACTCAAGCGTGGCAACAGTAGTGAGGTTGGCCCAGGATTGGACAGTGTTTCATTCTGCTGTGCATAAGGTCACTATGAGTTGGTACCGACTGGATGGCACCTAACAACAACAACAATTCTAATGCTTTCACCCCTTAAAAATTTAGGTGTATTCTCATGTTAAGTTTAAAGCCTTTTGTCAGTTCATCATTTGTTAGGTTGAAAGCCTTCTGTAAGTATAATAGTTAAAGTTTTGAACATTGGAGGTGGGGACAGGTAGGATAGTCAGGAAAAGAGCTGGACTGAAGTTTGTTTCAATGAAGTTGTATATATGTATGTAATAATGTTATGAGATTTTTTTTTTTTTCAGTAAACATCTCCTTTTTGTATACTAATAACATTTGCATGGCACTTTTTTTGTAGCAAATAAAGAGCTCTGGTAGTGTGGTGGTTATTAGTCGAACTGCTAATTTCACAGTCAGCAGTTTTAAAATACCAGTGGGTTCTGGGGGAGAAAGATCAGGCTTTCTGCTCCCTCTGAAACCCTATGAGTTGAAATCAACTTTACCACCTCCATTATTAGCGAATAAGTACACTTTTTTTCAAACTAAAGGTCTCACTTATTTATTAGCCAACCTCTTTAAATGCAGAAGCATAAAAATGAAGAAACCAGAAGTTTTGCAAAACATGTTCAATTGATCAATTCTTGGCAAAATTGATCTTGCTATGGTAGGTTAGGGACTTTGGTATATTATGTGCTGCACCATCACATGTGCGACTCCTTAGAGACCCAGCTTGGTTCGTCTCCAGTGTCTTCTCTTGGAGTTGTATCTGATTTTATTACCAGTTTTCATTCGACTCCATTGGGGAAT